CTCTGGGCTCTCTATTCTGTTCCATTGATCTGTGTGTCTGTTTTTGTGCCAGTACCGTACTGTCTTGAGGATTACAGCTTTGTAACAGAGCTTTAAGTCTGGAATTGTGATGCCACCAGCTTTGCTTTTCTTTTTCAGCATTCCTCTGGCTATTTGGGGTCTTTTCTGGTTCCATGATCATGGAACATTTTTCCATTTCTTTGTGTCGTCTTCAATTTCTTTCATGAGTATTTTATAGTTTTCTGAGTACAGATCCTTTGTCTCTTTGGTTAAATTTATTCCTAGGTATCTTACGGTTTTGGGTGCAATTGTAAATGGGATCGACTCCTTGATTTCTCTTTCTTCTGTCTTGCTGTTCGTGTATAGGAATGCCACTGATTTCTGTGCATTGATTTTATACCCTGCCACTTTACTGAATTCCTGTATGAGTTCTAGCAGTTTTGGGGTGGCGTCTTTTGGGTTTTCCACATTAAGTATCCTATCATCTGCAAAGAGTGAGAGTTTGACTTCTTCTTTGCCGATTCGGATGCCTTTTATTTCTTGCTGGAGTTCTGCCATTCTCATTGATCGGTAAACTTTGGTCTTGGCTGGCTGTTCTTGCTGATCTTCTGGGGGAGGGGCCTGTTGTAGTGATTTTCAGATAACATTGCCTAAGGCAGAATTGCATCGCCCTTTCCAGGGGCTGGGTTAAGTAATCTGCTTGGGTTTGCTCTCGGGAGCTTTTGTTCCCTGCAAGCTTTCTCTACAGCTTTGGAGGACAAGTGTGAAATTGGCAGCCTCCCAATCTCTGGCCCTGGAGGAGCCGAGAGCTCAGGGTGCCACTCCTCAGTGAGCCCCCAGAGGAAAGCAGTCAGTCACTCTCGTCTCCCCAGTCTCCAGCCGCATTCCATGCTCACCTGGCCTGTGACCAATCATTTCTATCTCTGGCACCCGACCCAGTGTGGAGTCTCCAAACCCAGCAGAGTCCTGCAGTGCACTCCCGCGCTGCTCCTCCCGGGGTAGGAAAGGGAGTCTCCCCGGATCTGCCGCTTATTGGGTACCTGCTGGAAGAACAGTGGCCTGACTATGCCGCGGATCACGATTTATGGCAACCCCAAGCTGAGAACCCGCTCCTCGGCTCCGTCTTTGCAGCCAGCTTCCCTGCTCTGATACCTGGGAGCTCTGCTGCACTCAGGCACCCCTGGTCTCTGACCCTGAGGGTCATGAGACCACGCTGTCCTGCGAGGGTCCCACCCCCCACTTAGCCACTGGAGCAACGTCCCTCAGCAGAGCAGACTTCTAAAAGTTCCGATTTTGTGCTCTGCTGCTCTATCATTTGCCAGTAGCGGCTGACAGAGGCCACGCCCCTTCCTCCCCCCTCCCCCCCCCTCCCCGCCGTCTATCCTCCTGAATATTGCCTCAGATTCACTTCTCCGCACATCCTACCTTCCAGAAAGTGGTCGCTTTTCTGTTCAGAGTTGCTGCTGTTCTTTTCTTCCATCTCCTATTGAGTTCAGAGGTGTTCGGAATGGCTTGATCTCTATCCAGCTGAATTCCTGGGACCAGAGGAAATCCAGGTCTCCTCCTCCACCATCTTGCTCCTCCCTCAACTGTGTGATTTTTTCCCTTCATTCTTTAATGTGGTATATTGATCAGTTTTCATATATTGGTCCTTTCTTGCATTCTAGGAGTAAACCCACTTGTTCAGGGTGTATAATCCTTTTAATACTTTGCTGAATTCAGTTTGTTAGTATTCTGTTGAGGATTTTTATATTAATGTGCATTAGGAATATTGGTCTACAGGTTTGTTTAATTTTTTTTCTTGTAGTGTCTTGACCTGGCTTTTGTGTCAAGGTAATGCTAGCCTCACAAAATGAGTTAGGAAGTATTCCCTCCTTTTCAATTTTTGGAAAAGTTTGAGAAATATTGATATTCTTTAAATGTCTCGTAGAATTCACCTGTGATGCCATCTGGTCCTGGGCTTTTCTTTGTCAAGAGTTTTTTGATTACTGATTCAATCTCCTTACTAGTCATTGGTCTATTCAGATTTTGTTTCTTCATGACAGTCTTGGTAGGTTTTGTGTTTCTGGAATTTGTCCATTTCAGCTAGAATATCCAGTTTGTTGGCATACAACTTTTTCTAGCACTCTCTTATTTTTTTTTAAAAGATTTTATTTATTTATTTATTTATTTATTTGAGGGAGACAGAGAGAGAGTGAGAGAAACAGCATGAGAGGGGAGAGGGTCAGAGGGAGAAGCAGGCTCCCCTCTGAGCCAGGAGCCCAATGTGGGACTCGATCCCAGAACTCCGGGATCATGACCTGAGCCGAAGGCAGTCACTTAACCAACTGAGCCACCCAGGCACCCTAGAGCACTCTCTTATAAATCCTTTTTTATTTCTGTAGAATCCGTAGTAATGCTTCACTTTCATTTCTGATTTTAATAATTTGAGTCTCCTCTCTTTTTTTCTTAGTCCATCTAGCTAAAGTTTGGTCAATCTTTGTTGTTCTTTTTAAAGAATCACTTTTGGTTTCATTGTTTTTTCTGTTGTTTTTCTATTTTCAGTTTTATTCATCTCTGCTCTAATCTTTATTTCCTTCCTTCTAATTATGAGTATAGTTTGTTCTTCTTTTTCTAGTTCCTTAAGTTACAAAGTTAGGTTGATGATTTGAGATCTGTCTTGTCTTGTTAATGTGTTTATAACTATAAATTTCCCCCTTAGCACTGATTTAGCTGTATCCCATAGGTTTTGATATGCTATAACTTTGTTCAAATTCATCTCTAAGTATTTTCTAATTTCCCTTCTGATTTCTTTGGTCCGTTGGTTATTAAAGAGTGTGTTAATTCCCATAGAATTGTGAATTTTCCTGTTTTACTTCTGTTATTGATTTCTACCTTCATTCTGTTGCGGTCAGAGAAGGTACCTTGTATGATATCCATCTTTTAAAATCAGCTGAGACTTGGGATGCCTAGGTGGCTCAGTTGGTTAAGCAGCCAGCTCTTGATTTCGGCTCAGGTCATGATCTTAGGGTCCTGGGATCAAGCCCACCATCAGGCTCCATGCTCAGTGGGGAGTTTGCTTGAGGATTCTCTCACTTCCTCTCCCCCAGCACACTCGCTCTATCTCTCTCTGTCAAAATATAAATTTTTAAAATAAAAAAATAAAATAAATTGAGACTTAATTTGTGGCCTAACATATAGTCTATCCTGGAAAATGTCCCATGTGCACTGGAGAATGTGTATGCTGTTGTTGGGTAGAGTGTTCTGTAAATGTTAAATCTAGTTGATTTAATTTATTAAGTTCTCTATTTCCTTACTTATCTTCTATCTAGTTGTTCTATCCGTTATTGAGAGTGGAATATTGAAGTCTCCAACTATTATTATAGAACTGTATGTTTCTCCCTTCAATTCTCTATTTGCTTTGTATATTTTGATGGTGTGTTAGTAGGTGGATAAATGTTTACAGTCGTTTGGGCATCTTTATTTTTGGCAAAACATCTAGCAGAATGTTTGGCCTTCAGTAATTATTGCTTTAATCCATTAATAATTTATTAAAAGTTTTTGATAGCAAAAATGATAAAGGCCTAAGAAGTTCTATTATTTTCTGAAAGGTGATATAAAGCATAAAATCTGGTAAATTCCTTTTTTAAAAGACTTTTAGAGAATCTGTAGAACCTGCAAACCCTCCTACAAAGAAAATGTGAACACAGAGATGGAAGGCAATTTTACTTTGTATTTGTGGCATCACCACCATGATGTTTCATGAAAACAAGCATTGCCATGAGGTTAGTTGAAATTCCCGCTGTATTCACTTGTTATTATTTCTTTTCCAAGCAATCAAGTTGAAGAAACATTCCCACTACTTAAAGAGGTACCTGCAAAGTATATTTATTCAACCATCCCAATGGGATTTTCCCTTAGTAAATCTGCTACTCAGATATCTGCTATGCATATGGATTCAAAAGTGGATGATCATTTGATGCGAGGGACTGAGAAAAGCAAGTTGGAACCAGTGACTCAATTATTTCAAAACACCAAGAAAATAAGATTAGAAGACACAAACAAAGAACACTTTACAAGAAGTAAAGAGATTGGCTCAGGATCTCTTTCAGAGAAAACCTTGGGTTCTGTGGTATATGTTAAAGAAAATGATGGAATGGAAATGACAGATGTGGAATGAAGTTATTTGTACATACTGCCAAAGAAACCAGAATTTGCTTTTGACTAAGAGAGCATGTTGAATGAGAACTTAACCTTATCAGAAAAATCTAACAAAATGAAGGTAGACAATTGCTTATTTTTCACTATTTATGAATCACGTTAGACTTCACTTTTTTGATACGTATTCAAAAAAGTTAATGTTTTAGGGGGAAAAAACTTTCCAAAATTCAAAGCAAAATTTTCTGGTATTCTATCCTTGTCAAAAATCAGAATTTTTGAATAACAGTATTTAAATGGTACCAAAATATTTTAATTGTAATGTATTTCTTTAACAAGTGATCAAAAAACAGTGCCCAATTTGATATCTGTATTTCACACTATGTGTGGTATACCAATTTTGTAAGATTTATAGTTTGGAATTTTGCTTTAGGGTATTTTATCTTTCTGCATTTTTGCATTTCTGTTCTGTAAAAGATCACTTCAGGTAAACTCTACAAAAGACCAGTAAATTACGTACCTTGAGAAGCATTTCACATTTTAAATCATCCTTTTAAAACTGTTTTCCCCCACATTGAATTCATTTCAAAATTACAAAATAGTTATTTCCAAGTATAATAGTTTATCTTATAGATACTACCATTTTATACTACTAATATTTAATATAAGAAAGCAGCCTATTGTTAAAAAAAATTCTTGTTTTATATATATCAGTTTGCCGTTCTTACTGAAATGTTTAGTAGTTTGAGACAGCAGTCTTGTCCCAGGTATTGTGAGATGAAATTGAAATCATTTTTTGTCTGGACATATAGTGACCTGTAACTATATTATGTATGTTTTGAACATTTTCCTCTACTTTAATATTTATTGGCTATTTCTAATGCCCAATTGTGAGTAATCTCCATAATATTCATAAAAACAAAGATGAAAAGGCATCTTCTTTTAGGGGAAGCAATATTTTATAAATCAGAAAAATACAAATGTGATATATTTGTAGGGAATATTGAGCTTAGAGCTAAATAAAATTGTTGAATGGGACATAAGCTAATAGGATGATGCTTTTTGTCATTTACAGAACATAATTCTTTGGGAGAGAAAAAAACTCAAGTCTTTCATTTGTTCACCTAACCTGGCACTGTGCTTGTTGCTGGGGATATAGTGGTCAATAAAATAGCCACTGCCATCATAGTGTTTACTGTTTGTCTGCCAGGGAAGATAAAACATCAGACAGTAATTATGTAAGATACAAATTATGATGTGCCGTGAAGAAAAAGTAAAATGTCCAGAAGGACAGGACACATAACACATAAACCTGATTTTTAATTGTGGAACTAGGAAGTTTTCCCTAAGGTCATGTCATTTATAGCTTTGGACTTGGACACAGTTGTCCAAGTAAGATGATGGTACTGGTCAATGTCTTGAGAAGGGGATAGAGTCCTGGTGAAGGTTAGCAGGACAGAATAATGGTTTGAAAGTGAGAAGTAAGGAAAAAGAAAGGAACTCCAGCTAAAAAGGCTATTGCATGGAGGTTCTCTGGGGGAAAAGACTGAACTCAGGAGCATGGTTTTGGCACATAACCCCGTTTCCAAGGCAAGTAGACAGTTATATGTATGTAACTAAAAAATTTTGAAGTAGTATACAGAAATGGTATTGAAAGCCTTGGGAATGCATGAGATTGCTGAAGGTGAATGTATAGTGTGAGCTAAAGTCTTGAGGAACTCAAACATTTAGGAGCTGGTCAGCATGGGGGAGCTAGCAAAGGGAAATGAGGAGTTGGCAGTGAGATGGTAAAAAACTACGCCAAGGTAATGTCAAGACTGCCCACAGTAGTTGTTATGGTGGAGGTAGTCAACTGAAAGGTCAGACAAGGATGGAAAGGTCCATTGGATCTAGCAATATAAAATGTCACAGTAACCTTAGCAAAAACCACGTTCCTTTTTTTTTTTTTTTTTTGAGCAGGGGCTTGGCTCAGATATTTACAGCCTTGTTTTTCATCTCCCTGAATGTCAAACAGAACATTTGATAGTCATGTTGGATGTTGAATTTGAGATGATCTTTCATTGTGCATGATGCCTCCTGCATTGCAGGTTGTGACATACAGTAGCACACTCCAGTCACTGAGACTATAAAAAATGCAAACATTTATTACCCTCACTGAGAACCATTGCTGCCAAGACAACAGAAAATTGGAATCCCCAAATCCAATCTAAGCCATAATTTTAGCAGCCCACTCAAGAAGGGAAATCCAAAAAGACTTCCTGGAAGAAGGTGGAATGGAACAAGCTTAATAAGGACAATATCCTCACTTAGATGTTTTGGGAGAATTCTATAAGTGGTATCTTAAAGGGACTACTTTTCAGAGTTCTGTTGTTTCTAATAAGAGCAAATTCCCCATATAAAAAAGTGTAGTTCAGCAGAAATAAGGATGTTAGGAGACTTTAAATCCAACATATCCATAAAATAAGGTATTTAAACCTATTATACATGCATTGGTGTTGTCATGGATAATAAAAGCTTTCATTTATTGAGCTAGTGTGTGACTATCTTAATTGGGACTCCCTAGAAGCTGCCTGAGACAGGGATTCAGGTGCACGTGATTTTTAAGAGTGTACTCTTTAGGAAAAGGGAGTGAAGGAAGCAAGATGGAGAAACAAGAGGAGTCAGCTAAGGATGAGAGCTCAAATAAATTCTTGGTCTGATCCACAGGGTGCCCTGGAAGGACCAGATAGCACAGTTGTCCCATTACTCACTTTGAGGCAAAGGGGGGGATTATTGTACCCCCTATCAGTCTGGCCTTGGTTGCCACCACAAAGCCAAAGAGGGAGGCTGGAGGAGCACGGAGGTAGCGTGAATCACTCAGGTGTCTCTGGGCAGGGCACAACAGCTCCTAGCTCACAGCAGCTGAAAACAGATGCATGGACTAAGGAGTAAGTGGAACATGGGTAGGGCACTAACAGTCTTTATTACAGTGTCAGACACCTAACATATATTATTTTCCTTTTATTTTGAAACAAGGTCAAATTTACAGAAAAGTTGTTGGTACAAAGGCCCTTCCCTCTCCCCACAACCATTTGAGAATAAGTAGCTGACCTCATTCATCAGTTCTGAATACTTTAATGATTTAAAGAATTTTATTTATTCTTTATTTCTATTTTTAACGGAAATATTGACATAGGACACTGTATTAGTTTTAGGTGTACAACATAATGATTTTATATATGTAGACCCTGCAAAACAACACAATAAGTTAACATCCATCACCACACAGTTACAATTTTTTTCTGTGATGAGAATTTTTAGATCTACTCTCAGCACCTTTTAAATATATAAGACAATATTGTTTTTTTTAAATGTCTTTTTTTTTTAAGATTTTATTTATTTGACAGAGAGAGACACAGCGAGAAAGGGAACACAAGCGGGGGGAGTAGGAGAGGGAGAAGCAGGCTTCCCACAGAACAGGGAGCCCGATGCGGGGCTCAATCCCAGCACCCTGGGACCACGACCTGAGCCGAAGGCAGATGCTTAACAACTGAGCCACCCAGGCGACCCGACAATATTGTTAAATGTAGACACCATGCTGCTGTACATTAGATTCCCCAGGACTTATCTTTTTTTTTAAAGATTTTATTCATTTGAGACATATAGAGAGAGAGAGCACGAGCAGGGGGAAAGGCAGAAGCAGTCTCCCTGCTGAGCCAGGAGCCCGATGTGAGGCTCGATCCCAGGACCCTGGGATCATAACCCAAGCCGAAGGCAGACACTCAACCATCTGAGCCACCCAGGCGTCCCCAGAACTCATTTATCTTATAACTGCAAGTTTATACCTTTGACCACGTTGACTCATTTCACCCTCACCCCTCCAAAAAGCACTCTTGATGGAATGGGGACAGAAGAAATGTTGGAGTAGGCTGATTATGAATGGGAAGTAAGGAAGTAGATACTGGATACGTGAAGCAAATTCTTGAAGAAGCTCTGCTCTAAAAGGAAGTAGGCGGGTTATGATGAGTCAGAGTTCATGTCTGAGTGTCAGTGGAAGAAGGTACCAGTGGAGACGGTGAAGTAGGAGAGGGGTTAAGAATAACCAAAGGACAGGGCGCCTGAGTGGCTCAGTCATTAAGCATCTGCCTTTGGCTCAGGTCGTGATCCCAAGGTCCTGGGACCGAGCCTCACATCAGGCTCCCTGCTAAGTGGGGAGCCTGCTTCTCCCTCTCCCACTCCCCCTGCTTGTGTTCCCTCTCCCGCTGTGTCTCTCTGTCAAATAAATAAATAAAATCTTTAAAAAAAAAAAAACAAAGGACAAAAGTCTTAGAGCAGGAAGGAGGGAGTGGGATTCTTGAAAACCAACTCAGTAGAAAACAGGGCGAAAAAACTACCATCTCAGATTTCAGAGAAATGAAATTTAGGAAGACAGAATATAAGCAAAGGGAAACAGTTTTGTGCGGCTATTTTTAATAACTAGGAAAATGCCTACTGGGGCTAACTCTACACAATTCATTCCATCTGCATAATACAAGAAAGGAACTCAGAGTGACTTTGATCAAAAGGGTAATGGTAAATGAGCCACTGTGTCTTTATTGTCGCTTTTTATGGAGCCCTGCTCAGCGTCACCAAATTGTGAACACTGGATGCTTATTCCGAGATGCAAGTCTTGGTAGTTTCTATTCGAACAGAAAAATTTCATTTCTGTGAAAGATTGAAAAAGATGACTACAAATTATTTGGGCTCCTCTCATCAAGAGGTCGAGTTCACTGCTCCACCCTTTATCTCTGGCCTGCCTTTGCTTGTTGCTTTTGCCAACAGAATGTGGTTGCAGTGCCTCTCTTCCAAGGCTAGACCTGAACTGAGGAGCCCCAGCAGCCAACTGCCAAGAGTATGAACAGGGCCATCCTGGACCTTCCAGCTCAGCCAACCCTGGTTGAATAAAGCTCGGGTGAAACCATATCAATGTTAAAAATAAATCGTTTTAAGCCGATGTTTGAGGCAGTTTGTTATGCGGCGATAGTTCACTGAAACTTTGGCTTG